GACGAGAATTCAAAAGTTCTCGGATCTGTGACTGAACTAGTGATGGGTGTAACCGAGATATATAATCGAAAAATGAAAATAATAATTCGATTATATACCTGAGAGATTATTTCGAGTGATATCTCGTTTATTTTAAAAACAATCAATTCTTCATCTCGAAATGAAAAAATATTTTGAATGATTTTATTTTATTTTTATTATCTACTGCATAATTTTCACTTTAATCTGGGTATGTATTATAACTTATAGCAGAAAAAACGTAAATAAGCAGGCATGTTGTTTATTTCGTGATATTTAATGGAATAATTCTATTGGAATTTATCAATAATTAACAATAAGTTTAATTTTTATTCAAGTTACAAGTTTATTTATTCATTGGTTAATTTAACGTATAAATTGTTCAGATTGTTGTCCTCCGTGAACAAAACATGATTCAGCGCGCCACATGAATTCTTTATTTGTTGCAGCAGTTAAGAATTTATTCTAAGATTCCTTTCTAAGTTATGAATAAAACTATGAGCAGGATGTTCTCTATCTAAAGTAATTACCAAAAAAAAAACGAAACTAACTTAAAAAATTATCTAAAGCAACATAAAAAAATTAATAAGCATACTTGGGAAACGATGAACATAAGTTTGTGCTGCACGATGTGCATTTTTTTGACACTCCCAATAAATAAATAACTTATCAACTTTTTCGGAATGATTCATATTAATCACGGAATAACACACGTGTTTGGACGATGAAAAATATCGAAATGATCAATTTATATAAATATGTTCATGTTCATTTCATCGAATTTAATTTTGTATCAAATTGTTATAAAGATAAACGTTTAAGGGAGGCAGTGCTCAACTTAAGGGGGGGACGCAAGGGGACGGCGAACTCCTTCTAATTTTTAGAAATTTGAGCGTCCCCCTACTATTATGATGTTATAATTATAACGCTTAACAAGTTTTGGCAACGCAATATTTTTTAAGCAAACAGAGTACCCCTTCTTTAATTTTTTCAAGTCGAGCACTAAAGGGAAATACCTAATGTTTAGTTTTATAGTGCTTTATAAAATACGATAAGTATTAGATTACGTTTCTATTTCAAATTAAAATTTCATAAATATCATTGCAATCAATTGATTGATGAAGAAATTACTGCTGCAACAAATAAAGAATTCATGCGGTGTGCTGAATCATGTTTTGTTCACGGAGGACAAAAATTTGAACAAATTATTCGTTAAATTAATCAATAAATAAATAAACTTATTGTTAATTATTGATTCCAATTAAACTTAACTCCAATAAATTCCAATTAAACTTTATTAAATCCATTATTATATTAATAATTATTAAATCCATTAGATCATGTCACGAAATAAGCAACATGCCTGCTTATTTACGTTTTTTATACTATAAGTTATAATACATACCGAAATTAAAGTGAAAATTATGCAGTAGATAAAATTATAATAACGTGTAAATATCACTTTAATAAATTAGAGTGAAAATATCAAGCCTTAACAATTCTAGAATAATTATTTTCAGAGTTGCAATCCAAAAAATTTAAAATCGTGCGCATTTTACAATTTTTTGGTTAAATTGCTGTAACTTGGTCAATTTTGGACTTAAAAAGTTGGTTTAACTACCAAAATTCTTTAAAAAAAATAGGCGAAAAATAATTAGTGGTTGAAATAGGTGGTTGCCATTTAAGAAAAAAAAGTTGTACTGCGCATGCACGTGTCTATTTAACTTAAAAAAATTAAAAATTTGTAAAAATACACATTATTATGTCATAAAAACCAACAAAAAATCAAAATTCAAATTTCAGGTTTCCACCCAAATATATTGAGTGTTCTCAGTTAGCGTTTACACACTATTATATTTCAATTGAACATTTCGAATGATTATTTCAAGACATCTCGTGATAATAAAAATGTCTCGATTACTAATATTTCGATTATTGAAATCATTCGATTATACCCATCACTAGACTGAACGGATACTGACTAAACTGACGGATCGGATTCGGATAGAAAACGAATGAGTGTAGATGACGCAATATAAATTTAGCCAAATGTTATTTTCCATGACTGAGACTGACCCGATTTCCCGGAACTGAACCGTCTCGTGACTAATATATGTGAATAAATCTTAAATAAATGTAAATTGTGACTTGACAACGAGTCTTTCTTTAAGTCATTAACGGCAATTTTTCCCCAATTTTACTTATTGTACATAATACATATATAGATTGTAAATATTAACAAATTAAACTTGAAAAACTTAAAAAAAAAAAAAATAAAAATAATCTGCATCGATAATATTAAAAAAATTTCCAGGATATCACATCGAATAATCTAAATTGTTGATCATTACTTTTTATTTTACTTTTTACAATCTCAGAAATCAATTAAATGCTTTAGAGTTTTCCTCGGCAAAAAACTAACATGGAAAATACACATCAATAAAAAATTAAACCACACCTATGCTAAAATGAACATGTTATATCCCATAATAAACTACAGTTCAACACTATAAATTACATTCTTACTTCTGATATACAGGGTGTCCTAGAGGGAAGTGAACGGTCGACGCCGAATGAAAGTACACAAAAAACGATGTAGAAATACCTTTGAAAGAGGGGGTCTAACTTTTTTATTTTGGAAGTTAAGGGTGATTAAATTTTTTTTTAACAAAACCAAACCTACCACGTATTTTTTTACAAAACTTTTCAACATTTTAACGTAATTTAATTTTTATTTTAAAACTAATTCATTGGGCTATCAACCAACATGCGAAATTAAACCAGAAATATGCAAATTATTTTTATAAAATTGAAAAAAGTAAATATTTATTATCAAAAATTAGTATTTTTCAACGTAAATTGCGTGTTAACTCCAAATAGTTTCATATTAAATATGATTTTTTTTTTAATTATACTAATTCTACTGGATAATATCTAGAATATCTTAAAGTTTGATTTTCATATCTTCTACAATTGTAGAGTTTAAAAATGTTTACTCTAAACTTAACTGAAGGAGCTATCCACATTATAAACCGGGTTAGGTTACTAAACTTACGCCTCTCTCAGAATATATTTTTATCTGCAAATACTTCATCATCATTATTATCACCTAAATCAAAATTTTCGAAACCATTCATTAAATTATTTACAAAAATAAAAAATTATTATTACCTGTTCTCTATTTACGTATATTTTATAAATCTCATCTAAAGTGACACAAAAAAAAAAAAAAAAATGTAAATTTTTAACTGATTGTTAAAATCATTGTAAAATAAAAAAAACAGTCTAAAAAAAAATTGTATTATCTAAGTAAGTACATATATAATTATATTTTCTAGGTATATTTTTATATTAATTTTAACAGCCTAAAAGTGAATTATTATCTGCGTAACTCAACCAATGCAGTATAACACCAAAAAAACATAAATGTGATTTTAAGACAATAATAGATTATTTAATTCTTTATATAGGTATGTACAACAATATCTGAGTTTTATGAGTATATTGAATGACAATATAATATTATCTCATAAAGTCATAACTAGGGCTCGGAAGTTGTAGGAGCTAAAAAAGGAAAAATATGCACGAAAAAATTGTAAGATATGCATGAAAAAATCTGAAATATGCAAAAAAAATGTACACATGTAACAAATTTTTTTTAATGTTTTTATTGAATTCAAAATTTTTCGAGTGATTTTTATGAATTGTAATTTTTTTAATCTACAAAAAAATAGAATGATAGTTATTTGAAAAATTATATTTATTTGTTATTAATTCAATAAACATAAAGATTACTCTAACTGTTATACCTGTAAACGTATTGCATTAAACTATCAGAACTTTCTTTATATTTTCTATATCAAACGAACGAGAATTGTCTGAAAGTATATTTTTGTAGCTCGAAAAACTTCTTTCAACATCCGATGAAGTTATGGTAAAGGTATAATTGTATACAATGTTAGTATTAATAATACATTTGCCATATTGCTATTAGATTAACGATAACGTCTATAATATTATATAGTGTTCACCTTAGTGCTATAAAGATTCCGTTAAATTAAATTGATATAATGACGGTAATGTATGGCGACTAGTACGTTAAATAATCGAAAATAAAATATAAGAAAACTTCAAATTGTTTAGAAAATATTAAAAATCTCATGAAAATTAAGAAATAAGCACTTTTTTCTAAAATTGCCAAAATATGGGAAAAACTGTATTTTTAATTTTTGTATTTAAACTCGTTTTTGTATGGAACGGATTTTTAGCTTGGTCTGCTATACATTGAGAGAATATAAAAATATATACAAATCCTACAACTTCCGAGGTCTAGTCATAACTATTACAACTTTAATGTTACATTGATATATGATATATATATATATATATATATAAATCCATAATATGACCACTTAAGAAATATTTAAAGCTTAGATTCTTCAGTTGCTGTGTTGCGGGACAAGTCCAGGTGTGTCGTGGGGTTTATTAAATGGCACAAAATATAAATTGATATAATGATTTTTAATAAGTTATGTAATATAAAACTTATAAATTTAAATATTGAGGTTTTATTATTTAAAATACAAATTAAATATTAATACACATGTAGGTATATTACAAAATATTTTTATATTTTAAACTTCAATTTATTTTTATACGGTGTGTTGCAAAGCATGGAATATTTTAATTGTGTATCCAAAATACAAACAATAAGAAATATTGACCTAAATTATATCATAAAGTATTGTATATTTATTTAAAACACCGTAATTCATTTTTCTTTTCTTTAATTCTTTAGTTATCATGGGTTTTCGTTATCAATTGATATACATGAAGTTTATTTACCAGGTATATGGTATTCATTACACGCGCTAATGTGGTATAAAAGAATATAGGTATCTCGCATTCGATGATTAATGTAACCTATTGCCGTTGAGTCCAGGGTAAATTGTATTCGGTACCTTGCTGCGATTGGACAAATTTTTAACCATTGTTTAGTCGTCGCCGTCGTCGTGTGTAAACAGTAACAGCGCTGTGAATGAACATAGTCGATCGCGATGCGCGCCCGTGCACTCGTGTTCTAGTGTGATCGAGATTCGGGAGCGCGTTAGCGTGCAACTACAGGAGAATAGAACCGCTTTGACGGACTTGAATATTACGGTGTATGTTTGGTCGTACTTTATTTTAATAATTTTTTTCTCGTACCGTTTATGGTTGACATTTTAATATACACACGACTCTGTGTTGGTAAAATTCTGTTGAAAGGTGCATTGCCTGTTTACGTGCGTTTTGTGTAGTTTTCGTATCATTGTTATAATAATTCGGCATTGTTTTTTAGACGTGACGAGTTTCCGCTTATTTTTTCGAAGAACTGCACTGAAACTGCCACTGTCGCGTCCGCTGAATTCTAACACACGCGCACGCGTGCGGCGCGTTCACGTAAACCTTGTACAAGTATTGCAGTGCTTTACCATGACGAACTAGTCCGTCGTTAACGATTATCTAAACGCTGTTGCCTGTGTAGCGAATGCAACGAGTCCTCCCTACTGCTTTCATTCCATCTGAACACTATCGTTTTCCACGCCGGTAATCGGCTAACCAGGAACAGTAGGTAAGTGTTATTCTCCCGATACATTTATCTCTCCCCGACGTCTACCTACTGCGTTCGTCAGTGGAAAGCGCGTTGTATTAATTACCCGAATGGTTGCACTCGATTTGACAATGCACTCGGTTGTTCGGTATAACCGTCGTTGGTTCTTGTCTCCTTTCGTTTGCAGTCCATCATTCGTGTATTATTAAAGCACATCGCCTTTCACTATATTTTACCGTTTTAATTAAAAAATGAGTTATATCTTTAAATTGTTATATTTAAAGTTTTGTTCTAAATCGATCTCATTCGGCTGTATCCGGCTATTATTTTATCAATGATAATTATTGTTTGTTTTATTATTATAATAAATATCACAACTGTGATTAATAGACTAACATGTATGTACTCCTCATGTTAATTTAATGATTTTTCAACATTACTTTCAAACAACATTTTTCTAATAAATTTATTATTCTAATATTTTCCCTTACAATTACAATTAATAAATATTGACAAGATTCATTCCATACAAATTCTATTATATAAGTTAAAAAATAAATTATTGTATATAGTTATTATAGATTAAGGAACTTAATTTTTAAATATTTAAGTTTATCTATTCCGGGAAATGAGTTGAAAATTATTGCTTTGCCTATAGTAAATTGCCAGGAAGTGCAAGTACCTAAAACATATAATTTTACTTTCATAATAGTATAATATTATATGCTTTGACATTTTGTCATCATGATACTTTGAACATAAACATGTTGCATTGTTTAATTTTTCATTATTATTATAGGGCTCGGATGTTTATGCACTTAAAACTACTGTAACATGCATGCATTTATGCACTAAAAAATTATGAAATATGCAATCAAAATATACACTAAAAATTATAAAATATGCATTTTTAGCCAAAAAAACACCAAATTATGCACAAAAAAATTAAGATACATTTTTAAATTTGCATAACATTTTATTTACTTTAATTTACATTATTATTTATTACATTATTAGAGCTAGTCGGTTAGTGCTCATCTGCATCTTTCAATCGTTTTAGTGGGCTTGGAGAGAAGTTTTTCCAAGTATAAATATATATAAACAAATAATTGTCGTTCATTAACTTTTGATAACATCATATATGCTGTAAGTGTACAATTTTGATTTTTGAGTAATTTGCAAACTTTGATAAATTTATAAAAAAATGTTTGTGATTTTTTTTATTTCATATTTTAAGGACATTTGTTGTCATTTTTATGTCATATTTTGAATAATTTGTAAGTTTTGATAAATTTATATAGAATTTTATAATAAAATAGAGTAGAATATTTAAAAAAAAAATTTGTTTTTATTAATTATTAAACAAATATTTATCATTTTTATGTCTTATGTGCATTTTTTTATAGGTTATTATTTAATATTTTTTTAAGGTCATCAACTTCCGGGCCCAATTTATTTAGTACCGTAGTTCCGAACAAACACGATAAGTCTATAATAATTTATTTTTAATTAAACATTTATATTTTACGTCAATGCGTGGTAGATTGTAGTTACAACGTCCTATAAAATTTATATATAAAAAATGTGGAATTAATTGTATAGTTGTTAATTTAAATTGTTTTTTAAAAAAATGTACAAAAATATGCATTTATATTTTTAAAATATCAAAATATGTAATTAAAAAACAAAACCAATAAATATGCAAAAGTATGCAAAATAAAAATAGTATTATTTGATTTAGTAGAAAACGAATAAAATTTATATCCAGGTTAGCATTAAATTGGATAAATAGAAAAAAATATACAATTTCATAAATATCCGAGTTCTAATTATTATCTTATTTATGAATTATTTGCAGTAGTTGTAAAATAAATTTTTGTAATTAATGTTTTCTGTAACTTAAAGATTAAGTGAATTTTTCGCTATGGATATTAATGTAATATCAAGAATTGACAGTTGTATGATTTTCTTTATTTTTAAAATATTAGCTTTAGCTACCTAAATAAATATTTGATCAGTAGTTTTGATGAAATATTGGATTTTATAAATTACATAATTCTTTTTACATTAAAAATATTTTATTTGTTTACATATGATTCAAAGTTTTGTATGCAACAGATTTATTTGGCAAGCACAAAAGAAATAAAGAAATTAAGAAATTACTAATTATATATTTTTTTTTTTTTTTTTTAGTTTAAATATTTATCATTTAGTGATAAATGTATTATGATGGCTTTCCATGAGATTTCTTATGTGAACATTTTCAAAACTTGCCGATGGTACTAATGTTTAAAAGACCAATGCCTTCATAATAAAGGCCTTAGTAATAATAATACCTTAATAATACCTTAGTTATTAATACAATTTTGATTCAATTTCTAGTAATTTGCTCAACTTATTTAATTTTATCTACATTGGTGAACTTACAGTAAATAATTTGCAGTTAAGCCTATGACAAAAAAAAAAATGCCATATTTTCCTTAATTTATTTTAACATTCAACATACTAAATTAATAAAGAAGTTAAAGTAAAAATAATTTGAAATTGTTTACATTATAATATTACCAATCAACTATATAAAAAAAAAATGTATGGTGAAACCTTTAATTAAATCAAATAAGATTTTTTTTTAGTGTTATTTATTGCTTATAGTAGATTGCAAGTAACAAGTAACTTTATTGTAACAATAACATTCATAATTTACAGTTTTCAAAAAATTATATATAATATTACAGCTACCCTTATAAGCATAGATTTTGAAGGGGTAGCGATTCTTATCTATTTTAGTTTTTATTTACATAAAAATTAATAATTTATGAAAATAACTTTATAACAAAATTAAGATGAAATAAAATATAAAGGGATAGGAAAATAAAAATGAAAATATTAACAACTCTTAATTTCTTACTGTATATATTTATAAATAATAAATATATCATCCATATATTTATATCTATATATGGTTATATGGAAGATGGATACAGTGCTGTACCTAAAAAGGTGAAGAAGGCTTCAGCCCCTCTCCCCCTTGATTTGAGTTATGGTATTAGTCTTACATAATAAATGGACAAAGTACAATTCATGATATTTGTGAACTATTTTCAATACAACATATCAATTATTTGTAGAGAATTACGGTTACAGCTTAATGAATAATAATAACTTATATATAGTATAAGATGTTGGTATAATATTATTTGATTGGTATGAACATAGTAACGAACATTATGATTTTTTAAAGCATAATTCGATACCTCCACTTGATTTTACTTTTCTAGAGAACATAGAAGGCAAACAGAAAAGAAAATGTCAGCATAAGTATTTAACACAATATTCTTGGCTAATACCTATACCTCGTAGTATACATAAAGGTACCTACTGTACATTTTGCATATTGTTTGCTTTCTTATGCATATTTTTCTCTAGTGGTATTTATGCTTACAAATTTAAACCTATGTACCTAATGTATTTTACTTGTGAAAATATAATATAGTGTGTTTCAAAATGATACATCCGATTTTAGTAGTCTATAAATATTGTTCCTGTAATTTGAGGTAAATGACACACCATTCAACTGAAAAGTAGGTTTATCTAGATTTTATCGATTGCCGAAAAGTTGCGATGATGTGCAGTTTAGTTATGTAGTGTAACTTAATTAGTTATTATCGAAATGTCAATCGAGCAACAAAAGACGTTTTGTGCCCTAATGACGCTACATTTTGTCTATCGCCGGATCTTACAATTTGTGATTTTTTTCTCTGGGGTTACATAAAAAGCATTGGTTATATAGCACCCCTCTAAAAGATCTTAACAAATTGAAAAGTCAAATAACAGACGCCATCAACTTGATTACAGTCGATATGCTTCAACAGGTTTATGAGAAATTTGAATATCGCTTTGATGTTTGTCGTTTAAGTAAGGGGGGGGGGCACATTGAACATTTATAAGCATTGTACCTAAAACTAAAATACTCTTAAAATGTAAAATTTATTCTAACCTGATTAATAAATAATGAATAGTTTTTCAATAAATATGATTTTTTGAAAATGGATGAATCATTTTGGAACACCCTGTATATTAATTAAACTTATAACAAAATTTCAGAATTTGGGTGAATTAGTAACTGTACTTAGTTTATTATGTACAATGATGAAATTATTTTGAAGGCGGCATTAATGTATCCTCAAGATCTTTCAATTAATGATAGTTATATTCTTAAAACACAGTTGTGCATTTGGAGAAATAGGTAAGCAACTTTAATCAGATTTGGTTAATGATACGTTAGCCCATTATACAGTTTTCATACCAAATATTCAAATATTTTTGCAATTGTTTACAAAATTGCAAGTTACCTTAGCCACACCTGAATTATTTTCAACTCTGAAATAATTAAAAACGTATCTTGGGTTAGAAGAGCGACTTAATGAATTGGCTTTGACCATTATTAACAAACAAGAACAAGTAAGTGAGGTTGAAGTAATCAAATAATTTTCCAAAAAGGCACCCAGAAGAATCCAATTAGATGAACGGAGTAAATAATAAAATACTAAAATTAAATGTATTTTGAAGTTATAAAATAAATTATATTTATAATTGAATGTATATCATTTGTATTATAAAATAGTTCCTACTATCTACAAATATTATCCATAAATATATGAATGTGCTATAAAAAGTGGTATTGGGGCAAAATATCCTGTAATAAAATATCAAAGTCAAAATATCCAAATAAAAAAAAATTATAAAAGTCTGTATTATTAATATCCGTATAATTTTTTTTATTTAAATACATATTGTTCATTTTTAGATCACATTTTAATAACATTTAACATTAATAATACTTTATAATACAGTTATAAAATAATATGTTGTGTTGTATAATAATTATAATATGTTTAGTTTTATGTAGTGCGTTACAACGTAACATAGTTTTATTTTTACTATTATTATTTTATTACTATATTATAAAACATTAAATTATGTTAATTTTGATTTAAAAATGAATAATGTATCTAAATAAAAAATAAATTAAAAAATTAAAAAAATATGTACAGACTACAGATTTTGGATGTTTTTTCCTATACATTGATTATTTTATCCATTGGATATTTTAACCTTGGATGTTTTGACTTGGATATTTTGTCCTAGATTCACAAAAAGTATATAATAATATAATTTTACCTACTCTAAGCAGTGCCGGGTTAAGGGGGGAGCAAAGGGGGCAGCTGCCCCGGGCGGCAAATTTCTAGGGGTTGCAAATTTTTATGGTGAAAACATAAGATTTAAAGTGTTCTAAAATGAATGTATAAAATACTAATAGTGTGCTACAAAGTATGAATTGGAATGATCTTATAAAAGAGTTTGCGGCACAGAAAGCTAGAAAAAAATATAAATTTCTAATATTAAATTTACAATTTGTATTTAAATGTTTATAAAATGTTTGTACTAAAATTGCACTGTAACCTTTATTAATAAAGTTTTATTAACCAAAAAGCTACTGGTGCTTTATGTAACTTTTTTAAAATTTATATATATTCATTTAACAATTTTAACGTTGTTGTGACATATTTTATTTTTTAGAATGAGTACAAAGATATAAAGGGTATTGAGGGGCGGCATTTTAAAATCTACCCCCAGGTGGAAAATTTCTTAATCAGGCACTGACTAAAAGACTTTTTATTACAACTAAAATATTAAATTCTGATTTACGTTGTTTACTCACCCCCAATTGAAAAATCCTGTGTACGGCAGCTTATGGATATAACTATGAAGATTAACTTTTGTTAAAGTTATAAAATCATTAATTATTCTTTGAAGGAATTTTATAAAAATTTGCTCATGTTAAAGTTATTTTTACAAAATGGTTCTATTTTAGCATTTCAATTTTGGTAAATTAAAAAACAAAATTTATTTTTCAGGATATTAAATATTGTATATACTTTTGAAGTATGTTGAATTATATCACATTTTATGTAATGTATATTCAGTGGCAGATGAGTGTTTTGGCACCCATAGGTTAATCACTCTGTCCCTCCCCCTCTCAAACCACACTACTAAGGAACCAATAATACTTGGTCTGAACCCTTTTCTTAAAATTGTATACACTTTTTTATCAAAAATAAAAAAAATTATATTAAATCTTTAAAATAGAAAAATATCTTTTAATTAAAAAATATCCATATTCCTGTTGTTCCTAGTAATATGTACAGATAAATTACTAATTAACAAGTGACAGTAGTTAAATTACTATTATACCTATTTGAAGTATTTTAAAATTTTTAAAATAATTTTAATATTCTTTTTAGGTGCATTGTCCATATTATTATAACTTTTTAAAATTATTTTCATTTGTGTTTCTATTATAAATATAAAAAAATATATTAAAATAAATTTACCTAATAAAACTTTAATTCTAAAAAAAGCCTCCCAAGGCTATAGCCTATTTAGCCTGCCTCTAAATCCGCCATGTGGATTTTAAATAATTGATTATTAAAAAACATTAAAGATTTTTATGAAGATTTTTAGGTTGCAGTTTCATTGGTAAACTTTTTTACATTTGCTTAACTATAATTGTTTTTATTAGTTATCAAGGTCTAAAGTTATTGATATAGTATGGTCTATTGAGTCTCAACTTATAAACCTTAACTTAGCATCTAATGTGAATTAAATTTTTTTAAATGAAACCAAATTATTCCAATATATCAATCAATTAATTTGGACTAATCATCAATATAATTAGTTATCCAGTCATAAATCCAGACTGATAAAGTGTTCAAATTAAAGAATCTTACTATTAAACAGTTATTATATGCTCTTTGAATGTTGTAAGGTGTGTATGTTTTGAAAAAAGAAATAAATATTTTGGTACATTTTTTAGTTCTTAGCTGTTACATATAGCCTGATTAGGGTCGGTAACATAATGTACACCTGACCATGGTCGGTAAAATAAAAAATTTCTAGCAATGATTGATAGGATAGGGATTGTCCAATCTGTGACAACACTGAATATTAGAATCTAATATATAACAATATCTGATATTGTTGATTTTACATTGTACTTTGCTTCGGTGCTTACTATAATTCTAATTCTTTAAAATTAAAAGGAAGTATTCACTTAAGTCAAATTGATCATACAATATAATTGATTTAAAATTTTAACCTTAAAAATAAAAGCCCAAAATTTTTTATTTTATAAAGGATCTTTAATTATTTTACTTTTTTACCTAAAATGTAAATATTAAGTTCAGGGGCGTCATTTGGGGGGGGGGGAGCAAGGTGTACACTCGCACACCCTGAATTTTTTTCATCTTCAATTATTGACCTAGGCGTCACTGATACATGGCCTTGTCACTTTGGCCTTCAGTTTTCCAATCTTTAATCTTATGCATGCTGATCAGTAATTACTGCTAATCATAAATGTTGGCTTGGTGGTGGGAAAAAATTGGCCTCTTTAATTGCTTGCACACCCTTAAAAAAAACTGAAATGGGGCCCTTGATAAAGTTAAAGAAAATATTTTATGACCCGAAAATCATCTTTTATATTCAAATGTGTATCTACATATAAACAAAATATATGACTTTAAATTTCGCTTTAATAAAAGAATGGTTTTTTTTAAAATTCCTAACATTTTATTTATATTTAAAATAATTTTCAGCATTTTTCGTTTACAGCAGCGTTTCCCGAACTTTTTCTCTGCCGGACCCCTTAATACAAATGAAAATTAAAAACAATAATACATAATTATATTAAATTGATTGCATTATTTTCTGAACTAAAGATAGACAAAAAACATCGATGTTTTCGTTTGATATATGGAAACCCTACATTGATGTTTTTATTGCGATGTATTGAAAAAAAATCGTTTTTTCCTAATCCGAAATCCTATGTTTAAATAACGTATTTATTTAAACATTTTACGATTTATACATAACATAGATACAGTTTTTTTTATAACTTTTTAAGGTAAACATCGTTGTTTTTAAAACATTGATTTTTTGTCGAATATATCGATCACCGACATCGATGTTTCTATGTAGATACATCGGGACATCGATGTATCATTGCCCATCTCTATTCTGAACTAAATGCTGATAAATAACGATATACCAACGCGATCAGTCTGTCTCTGATATTAACTGCATTTCAACGATAATTATTTCGACAATGTATTTCCCATATAATACGAATGTTACATCAGTTATTTCCTTTTTACAGATAAGTACTTTGTGTATTTTTAATTTACGTTCGCGGACCCCTAGGGGTCCGCAGACCACAGTTTGGGAAACGCTGGTTTACAGTAATGCTATATATTCTCTTTTTATAACTATTTATTTCGAAAATAACTATTATGTTTACTTTATTGTCAATATTTAAATACCAATTAAAAAAAAACATTTTCATTTCAAGAATTCCATGGAAATTAATTTGTTGGTTTAAGTACACAAAATAGTGGTCAAAACCCAGTCGTGTAGCTATCATAGGGCAAAGTTAAATAGGGATCTTGGAAAATTCTGAAGCTACTTAATAAATCAATGTATACCTATGTATATTATAAATTAATTAATTTACTAATATTAAAGCATATAAAATATTTTAAAATTTAATTTCATAGGATCATTATAATTAATCAAAATAATTTTAATTAAATAATTAATAATAATAATATAACATAATAACTATAGTTTACATAGTAAATATTCATATTTAACCGAACAATATTAATTGTATATTTTGAATTTCCATATAAAGATTAATCAGGGAGTCTAGTTCATTTACTATCCCTGGGTCCTTAACTGTGTTTGATAGCTATATCATAGTTGAAACCCTTCAGGTAAATTTATTTATTAATCTCTCCTTTTTACAAATACTTATGAGCTATTTCTTAGTAAGAATTGTTTTAGTCAAACTGCTTAAAATTCACAATTTTCTTGAAAAACAGTGTACGGGTTATAATATCTTAAAAATCTTGAACATAACATTCACGTCATTTTTGTAATTTGCGACATTTGAATATAACCATTACAATTCCTCTATTACATAATAAATATAACATCAATTATGTAAGACACGATATTTAAAATTTTATATTATTATATCAGCATACGATCTATATAATTGTTATTACTAAACAAAAGAAAAATTAATATTAATAATAATTAATAATAATGCTACAAAAATGCATTCATATTTTTCACTGACGACTTACACAATATCCAATGTGTTTCTTGAACATTTTTAATATCGATATATTGTGTTATAGTTCTCAATTGATTTTTTACGTACATGAAGAAAGCATACAACAGTTTGTATAATCTTCATCCAATTACATATTGTTCATGTTACTTAAATATCTATATAAATATATTTTAATATTTTTATTCTTCATTCATTGAAAATACTAAATTAGCAGCCGCAATTATCGTCTTATCTTATCACTCAGCAAACTCGATAATTTCAAATACAAAAACACTTTTCCCTTCTTATTAATAATAATAAGCATTTAAAATACCCGTTCCACTCTTTGCCAATTAATTTTGTTAACAATTAAATCATTTTTTGTAATTTAATTAGAAGTATTATTGACAAAAAAGCAACTTCAACTTCTACCATTAATTGAATTAATTCATTGAAAATATTATACAATGTATTTTAAAATAATTTATACTATTTCTAAAATGTTTATTGTAAAAATGAGGTTAAGTTATACAAGTCCATCGATTATATTAAATGTTAGGTACGTATAACATTTACAAATGTTCAATGTCGACTGTAATCAAGTCGATGGTGAATTTTCAGTTCATTAGGATCTTTTGGAAAGGCAGGTGTATAAACTTTGTTTTTATGTAGTCCCATAAAAAAAAAAATACTGTGTATTTACATTGAAATATTGTATAAACTATATACATATACTATACTATGTGTACACTATAATTACACATGGATAAACATTCAGTTCCAGTGTCTAATCGAATTTCTGTATTTAATAATGTAAACTGGTTAATTATAATTTGCTGGAAACCGGCGTAAATATAATATTTATAGTATTTCAAAGTAAATTCATAACAATTTTATGCCATTACATAATTCTATATAGACTTAATTTTCCTTCGACACCCCTCGTTTAGATTTGCTTCAAATGTATACACATTTCCTAAATAAGTTATTATCATTTATGTAAGAACATGGCTATTTCTCTGTTTTCGTGTTAATTTTTTTTATTAATTTTTCCTGCAACATTTTAATAATTAAAATATCTTGTTAAAAAATTGCTCTCGCATGTAATGTGTAGTATCTATTTTAACATCTAAATTATTGTTTCTTTATCGTACGTTGGAAAATATTTTTTCTTAAATGTAAGTTTAAGATATTAATTTGTTAGCTAATTGATACGAACTGATTATAATTGTAATAGATAAATGGATAACATTCCAAAATAATTGTTTAACATTAGAAATTTATCAGTAATCACCTGAATATTTTAAAAATACTTTTTATTGTATGCATTATCTTAACATATAATGTATGTATAAAAATTGAGTAAATTCTCTTTTCTAATTACCAATTATGTTGAGTTATTTTTTTAGTAAATTAATTTTCTTGTAAATTGTCGAGGTAAATATTGAGTATATCAAAGTTATTATATTAAGTTTATCAAAATCTTAGCTGATACACACATGTGTATTTAATTTACTTCTATTATAATATAATTTTGTTATTTTTTACTGCCTTTTAAATTGTATTAACCATAACCTCTCTATGGTAATATTTACCATAAATTATAATTATTCATGTTTCCCTTATTTTTTATAAAATTACGAAAACTACCTGATTCAACTGGCTATTTTCAATCTAAAATACAAAACTAAGTGTAGTATATAAGGTCATAAAACACTAAAAAAATTGTTTTTAACTATTCTGAGCATACATACCAATTTTAAAAATAGTATAGTAATTAATCTACACAAACGAAAAATCTCACTTTTATGTTTAAAGTTTAATAATTAAATTAGTAATTTACTGTCAAAATATTTTAGCTTCAATTTTTGTCAAGTGATAATATAAATGTAACCTAAACATTGATTATTAATTGACTATTTTTTAATGTTGAAATTATTTAACTAAATCGTTTCTTATCACTAAACAGTTTTTAGTATAGTCTCAACCGTTTAATAATGGTACCTTCACAAAAATACTTTCCAAAAATCTGAAAGACTTTGTAGCATAACGTTTTTTTGTACGTTTTATATATTACAGTTGTTTTTTAATCCGGTGACAGTACAAACTTACAGTTTACTGTTCAACTATAGTTAAATAATATTATGTTACCGTTTATTCAAGCTAATATTAGTATTTTTTTCATGGTATGTTTTTTTATAAAATTACCGTATAATATTTATAACGAATAAACGTGACATGTTTTATTTAAAATATTTCATAAACCATACTATGTTATCAAAAATACTATGTATTCAAAACTAATATTTCTTTTTTATGCCCTTTAGTTGTGACAAACGTTATGTTTTTTCTATAACTTAATTTAACTCTTCGATAGTCACGGTACTATTTATGCTTTTAAAGATTTAATTATTGTTAAGGACACACTGAAGTGTTTGAAAAGATAAAAATGTTTGTTTGTGAGTTATATTAAAGATATTTTAATAACGTACTTTTAATTTAAAAATTTGTCATTTGTCTAATTATACTACTTAAAGATAACTTTAGTAATTATGAATTCCTTTTGTCGTAATTATTTTGTAGACACTTAAGAATGAAATATAATTTTATTTTATTTTATAAATAAGTAAAATAAATTAATGGAATCCTGGAAAATATGGTTGGATTTTGGTAAAGTGGTTATTTTGATCACTTGAGTGAATTTAAAGGTTTTAAATTTAATATCAGTTAAAAAATTTTGTATTTGAATTACGATTCCTATCAAAATTCGTTAGTTGTTTTATAATTATTCAATTCATTTTATCAAAATATTCAGTTTATTTTAAGTGCAAAATCGTCTATTTTAATAAAAAAGATACAAACTTATTATATCGTAATTATACTTTTTAATTGTAGTTCAAATTAAAAATATTCAAAAAAGATAAAATTCAACAGATTTGAAAAGTATATAAAATAAATTAATGCTTTAAATTTCGAAACATCATAAATCCAAATTAAAATTATTTTAAATTGTAATTAAAAATCCCGAAAATTTTTCAGAATTCTATAAATATATATATTATATATATATAATATAGTTATATTTTTATGTTTATAATTTCATTAGGTATTGATATCTTAAACACATTTTATTAATTTTTATATTAATTTTTAAAATAATAACACTTTTTTTATTTTTGATACAACGCAGTAATTTTATCTTTTTTAAACTGACATTCCTCTGGTGTGAAACATATATAATCATAATGGTATGCACACGACCCACATGGATTTATTATTAGTTCGAGTTTTTGTTCTAATTTGAATGAATTGTATATTAATTACGTCGCAAAAAAAATGATAAACGTAATTTTAGTGTTATTTACGAAAGTACAAATTTATTTAATGTATAAAATAAATAAATAAAAATCACTAAACGTTTTTTTAATTATAAAACTTTGTGGATTTTAAATTATTTTTTTTATAATATAAAATTAAATATTATTGATGTTTTCTTGAAAACAAAAATCTTTATCTTCAAATATTTCAAGAGTATATTTTGTATTGTTTTTGGTTTTGAAATAAAATAATAGGTATATATAGTTGGGAACACGTATTTTACTAATATAAATGGATCATTATTTTTACAAACTACCTATTGAATCTGATTTAATGTATAAAGATTTGAGTTATTTAAAACAAAAAATATACTATAAGATTAAATATAAGTGTTATTTTAGTTATAATCTTATCATTTATCATTATATTCAGTATAATACAATGTACTCAAGGCACTTAATATGTGTGTGTGTATATATATATATATATTAAAAAATAAATTATCAAATCTGAATTTGTTTTCTCATAAATTTTAGTTTCTGAGAAAATATATTAAAATATATAGACTGTTTAGTTTTAAATTTTGAACGTAAGATAAAAATATAAGATATTTTCTTTTGATATTGTGTACTAAATAGTTCGTAATTTTTAAAATGTCCAATAGAAAATTACATAAATCAATATCTGAATTGTTTTTACTAAATTATTTAGTAATTTTGTTCTAATCCAAGTCTCGGAGACTTAAAGTTTTTAATATTATTTTATTTTTTAATCTTTTTATACTAGTTAAAAAATTAAATTCGGAATTTAATTAGTACTACTATAAAATTTATTAATAATAGAATTATTATTTTGATTAGACTTGGAATTTGAATATTAGGTTGATTTAGCTATACTTTAAAAATGTTACACTATAATTTTGCTCTTGAGAATATTAACATGGAAATTTGAAATGGGAATGTTCAAGGAAATATTAAAATAATTTTTTTTCGGTCTCAGCCTTCCAGCTTTTGTATTTTATTAAAATGAGTAATTTTAAATTTGTTTTAGTATAAAATGAAGTTCTCCTAATTTTTTTTTTTCAATGATTGATTTTTAGATGATCAGTAATTCTTAAGAATACAATAAAATGTATTAAAGATTGCAGATCCTTGAAAATATAAATATTTATTCTCAACAGATATAACATTTTATCCAAACATAAATTATTATATTATGAATATTATATTGATTAATCTGAAAACTTATTTACAGCATTACATATATAATTATAATGTTTTGTTTTATTTGTCTTGGATGTATTTTATTGTATACTGTATTGCTTATTAATTTATTTTTATTTTATATTTCACACATTGTACATTGTAATAACTTTCACTTAGAATAATTTTAAAAATAAGATGATTATTTAAATTTTAAATTAATTAAAACTCATGAAAATAATATAATATTTATATTCATTATTTTTTTCATTTTTGTTTCAATGAAATTTTGTTGATGAAGGTGTATGGTAAAAAAATGATGATTTTACAATATTTTACAGTTCTTATTAATTTTGTTTTCAGATTTAAAAATGAACCAATACAATAATAAGAAAGTTCGTCTCATTACCATGTTTTGGCTGACAACATTTTTCTTTTTGGTTGAAATTGTTGTTGGCTATATAACAAATTCAATGGCTCTTGTTGCAGACAGTTTTCATATGCTTAGTGACATTGCAGCTTTGGTTGTTGCATATTTATCAGTTAAAGTAAGTTTTTATTACTTATTTGTATGTTTATTGGAAGTGAAGATACAAATTTTAAGCATATGCAATAACCACATATCATGTTAACTTCATCCTATATATTATGAGAAAAATATAGTGACTTATTCCTTATACTCATCTATAATATTTCATTCAAATCTTCATACTATAATTCATGTATCTTAAATTTATATAATTGTAATACTCTTGTTTATAATCATTGCCTCCTTTAACATTTTCCTTCTTATGTCTTGCTCAAGAAATCAATCTAATATTCTACAAATAATTTTTTTTAAGATTTTCTACCCCTCTATAGAGATTATTTATTAAGTGCTACCTTTTTATTAAAGTACATACATTGATTCATCTAATTCTTAAATATTTTTTTTCTTTAGATGTCTCCGAAAAAATGGTCCAAAAACACATTTGGGTGGGCTAGAGCTGAAGTACTTGGGGCTCTAGTAAATGCTGTGTTCTTAGTAGCTTTATGTTTTTCTATAACTGTGGAAGCAATTAAAAGGTATGCCCTTAAAAATAATATAGCTTAAGTAAATTATATTCTATTTTTTTATTTTTTAGGTTTATTGAAGTAGAGCTCATTCATAATCCTGAATTAATTATTGTGGTCGGAGTTTTAGGATTGATTGTGAACATTTTAGGTTTATTTTTGTTTCATGGTAATTTTTTTTCTTTTTTAGTGAAATAAAATTGAATATTATTCATTAAATCAATTGATATCAACTTTATTACATTTTAGCTCATGGAATTGGACATGGTCATTCCCATGGGGGCATATCTCGTAGCCATACACGGCTTACTCAGTTGGTAAGCGCTGGAGCTAGTGCTAATGCTACTGATGATAACGATAATGATCAACGTTTCAATGAACCAATCAGTCATTCTCATAATGAATCTGTTGCTCATGATATGAATATGCGAGGAGTATTCTTACATCTTCTAGCTGATGCTTTAGGTTCAGTCATTGTAATTATATCAGCTTTGGTATGTACTGATATTTTAAATATTATAAATGTATGAATTTCTTATTATCTATAGATTTATTGATTTATTGATTTATATATATATTTTTTGTATACTAATTCATGTTTATCTTCATCATTTACACTTGGTACATAATGGTTTAAACTAGGGATTGGAAACCTTTTTACATAAACGGCTATTTTTTTAACAGCTTTTCATTCAGGGCCTCTTACAAAATTAAAATAAATGTTATTAAAAATACAATTTTAACAAATAATAATTATAGGTGTATGAATAGTAACAATCATATTTTGAGTTTCACATTGAAAGGTGGTCAAATTAGTTATTAACTAATTTTGATTATTATATATTTATCTAATAATATCCTAATGTATAAACTATATAAGTATATATATATATATATATATTATGATCATAAAAATTTTATATTTTGTGTACATTTGAGAACAATGTGAGATAAGCTTATAGTACATATTCGTAAAAGTTTAAAAGTCTCAATTCAATTTTATTTATTATTACCATTTAAGATATAAAATAAAAATTTTGAAACACAACACATCATAATATAATAATTAACACACCATAATATATGTTTGGAGGGCTTAAGAAAAAAATCCATGGGTTGTTGGTACCTAGTTTAAACCATAAAAATAACAGGATAGGTAATTTTACATAAATCTTTATGATATTAATTATCTTAGTTATCTTGAGAAGTTTGTTAGATGTTATTTTAAGTTATATTATTTTAATTTTCTACATTTTTTATAATTTAAGGTGCATAAGATAAAGAAATATTGTAGGTTAGTTTTTATATAGTTTCAGTAGAAAATATCAATAATAAATGTTATTTTACTTTAATTAATTTATGTACATCGTTTTTAAACTAAAAATTTTTTTCTTAGATTGTAAGTTTAACTGATTGGGAATATTGTTGCTACATTGATCCTGCCTTAAGCACATTAATGGTGATTATTATCTTGCATTCAGTGTGGCCAGTATTGCAAGAGTCTGCACTTATATTGCTGCAAACAGTGCCTACTCATATTCAGGTAGATGCTATACAAAAAAGACTATTAGATAGAGTTGATGGAGTATTAGCGGTACACGAGTTCCATGTCTGGCAATTAGCTGGAGATAGAATTATAGCATCTGCACATATTAGGTATATTTAATTATATTTAAATTTTATTTCACAGACTTAATTAATTATTTTCATTATAATTTAGATGTAGGAATTTATCTGAATATATGAAATTAGCAGAAAAAGTTAAAGAATTTTTCCATAATGAAGGTATTCATTCGACTACTATTCAACCTGAATTTGTAGAAGTTGAAGTATGTATAATTCAATGTTATAGTTGTATAATTTTATATTTTGTTATTTAGTAGTTAATATACTATATTTATATTTAATTTATAAGGTAACTGAAAATAGGAATGAAAATGAAACTCCTACAGAAGACTGTGTATTAGATTGTCCTAAAACTGACATACCATGTCAATTACAAACTTGTTGTGGTCCATCAAAACAAGTAATGACCCAGCAATAAAATTTGTTGTGTAGTAAATAATTTTATATTTTGTTAATTTTAGGGTCGTGAAACACCATCTCCTGTTGATACACCATATATGTGCCGACAACGCAATACTACTTCTGTTACAATTGATGCTACCAACTGTTCACAAACAGGTAATACTCAAGAGAGTGAAATGGAAAGTGGCGCATTATTATTGGGTGATAGAATAAATATTAGTCTAACTTCTGGAGGATTTCTCACTGGTGGATAGTATTTTTTTGTTTTATAACAAATATATGTTTTTTTCATAACTATTACAATTAACAATTTAGCATATAGTTGCAGTGGTAACTATTTTATCATTGAAAACTACCATGTGAAAATAAACTTCATTATATAGCTACTATTAATATATTGTATTATAAATAGTTAAATAAATAATTTGTTAAAAAAAAGAAAAATATGCAAATTAAAATGTATTTGATTTTGGATTGTTGACCAAATTATTAATGATTTGTTCTTTTTGTAAATCTAGTTGTACTATTACCAGAAAAAAAAATATATATAGATTTTTTAATTATTTTGCCATGCAATGTTAGATGATCAAAATGCTATGTATTCTTAGTATACTGTTATGTAAGCATCAACAAAATAATGTTAAGTTAACTATATTTTTAAACAATTATAATGACTTATTAATGCTCAAATTTTGACATTTATCATAGATCTGTGTTTCTTTTATGTAATATTTTATGGGTATTGTAAATAAAACCAGATAACTATTTAAAAAAATATTATTATGTTTGATTGAATGCAATAATTAAAGTTAAATTAGTATTTTAAATAACTTAAACTTATAATAATATTTTATTTTGATGCCAATATCTTCTTAAGTTTTGAACCCATATTTTATTTCATTGCTTACTTATTAAGGCATTTTTAAATGTATACTATTAATACCAAATAAATTTATGTATACTGTTATATAGAGTAATTATAATTTTGAAATAGTCAAAATTATGTTTTGTAATGATGTATGATCATAAAATTCATTATTGTTGAAAATTGTTTAATTAACAATAAATATATAATTTTTATGTTATATAATTTAATTGAGTATTATTATTTATTTAGCATTTTGATGTGTGTAAATATTTTTATTTTTTTTTTTATAATTTGAGACAATGTACGAATGAATATGTCATATTATATATACTGGTATAATACTAATATACACTAGCTAGATAAAAAAATGAAACTTTAGTATTGTGTTGTCATGTGGTCTGTTTTTTAAGAATTTAAGTATGATATTTTTATTTGTTCAATATGACAACTAAACTGTGAGTTGATGATACGACCACTTTTTAAGTTGGGAAAGAAAAAATCCTTTATTGTATTTTGTATAGTTAATTAAAAATTAATAAACTTAAAGTATTATAAAAACTATGATAGTTGATTTTTAGAACTATGAACTATTCTGGTTTATTGTTATATATTATATAATTTCTCTTTACTAAGATATGCATGTTGATAGATATTATACGTGGAGTATAATAATTGTAAATCTATTAAATTAATCAATTACTTGATATGCTTTTTAAATGGTGTAGTATTTGTAACCTGCACATTTAAATGTGATTAATACTAGAGGTAATAAAAATGTTTGACGTACAAAACGCTGAGGGACATGCATTGCAAATGCTTTTTATTCAAGATGTATGTTTTTCTTTTTTTCTCTGTTGATACTATTGTAACCAAAAGAATTTCTCCAATCACAAGGTGGAAGTAAAAAGTAAGAATCAGTGTCTAGTTGGTAATATGGTGGGAGGGAGTAATCTTTTGAATTTATTAACTATTTTCCGTATAATCGAAAGAAAAAAAATGAAGAAAAATTATTTTAATTATATAATATTAGTTATTTAATTATTCTATAAATATGAGTCGTAGTGATTCGAAACATCTATTAAGTACTTATATAATATATAACATATTATTTAAGCATCAAGACATGTATAACTTTCATAATTTCATGAAAATAATGATTTTTATAGACACTTAAAATTTAATTAATTATAGTTTATTTAAAACGATGGAATATAACATTTTAATATCATACACTTACCTATGTAGATGTCATTTTTTTTTTTTTGCAAAAGTTTAAGCATTAAAAGTTCAACCCACCTTTATAAGATATTTATTTCAATCAACCATTTTTAGAAATATAAATCTGACCTCTTTCACTCAGAATCGATTTTTTGAAACTAATGGTTCATTGGTTTTTTATACAACACTAATACAGCAATATCATTCACCTGTTCCTATATTTCACCCAACTCGTTTCAGCAGTTTTTAATTATTCATACTAATATAATTTATTTATTTCTCTATAATCTGAAATTATTTCAAGAGCGTGGAAAAATATAACAAATTGACATCTGGTCTTTCTTAAGTGTGGTATAAGCATAGGTTAACTATCTCTTGTGTATAATATCTATTATTTCCATAATTAATTTTATTTAACATACATAAAATTCACTTGAGCTAGATTACATTTTTAGTTTTTAAATATAATGTAATCATCCGACTAGTATAAATATAAATTTATATTGCATTTTTATTTTCTTTAAGTATGTAATATTAATATTTTAATTTTTCGTCGTATTTGATTATAATTAATAATATTTGTCCCAATTTTTCAAAGTTATGAATTATGTTGAATGCTTATCAAATACAAATAAAAAATGTTTATAATAGATATTCTATTATGTTATTTATGGTTTATTTTAATGATAATTAAAAAATATTATGTTTTATGTAGTATAGTTAAGTTAAATATAAGTATACCTAATTGTTTATACTGCCTAATATACTATTTTTATAACACACATGTCGTAGTTTTAAATTAAGTATTCTTTTACATAAATTTCTTTTTTTTTTGCAATATTTTTAATTCATTTAATTACTTGGTTGATGTGGAGCTGAAATTATGATCACTATAACATTAACTTATGATATCATGAAACTCAGTAAAATGTATTCTGATAAATTTGATTATTATTCAATTTGACATAGCGTTTTTATTATACTTATTAAAGATTGTCTCAATAATTTACGAATATAAATTTGTTTATTATAGAAAACGTTATTATTAGATTACTTATTTATGAACATATACTTTTTTTAAATTTTATTTATTCGTTAATTTATGATGATTGACATTTGTGCTTGTATGAATATTTAGAATAAAATAAGCTTACATTTTTTCCCCATAAATACAATTAAATTCAATATGCCCTTTAGCGTTTGAAAAACGGAGGAAACGCTGCCCAGGTGGAACATCTTCATAAGAGGTCTGATCTGTTCTATTTATAGTTATTAGTGTTTCCTTCCGAAAATCCTTTTTAGAATGCAGTCGATCGTCGCGTGAACGAGCGCAACTGACTAGTGGCGCCAAGAACAAACAGCCGACTGTTCAATCATATACAGTATTCAAGTGGTGATATATTACAACTAAATTAGGGTGACCATACGTCCTGTTTTTTACAGGATTGTCCTTTATTTCAGCGTTGTGTCCTGTTGTCCTGACAAACTTCTTTCAGGACGCTTTTTGTCCTGTTTTTTTGATCAAACAAATTACAAAATGAATGAATTTGAAAACGAAACTTACGAAAGTAATGAATAATGATTATAATTGTAATCTTGTAATTGTCTGAATTTATCAGTATGGGGTATCCGGTATGACGATATGTCTACGAGTTATTGGAGCTTATCGGAGTTATCGGATTTACCGTTATCTGACTATGCTTTCGATTTTATCTATTTATATCACTGAAAATACGTTTTGTGAATACGGCGAATAGCGAATAGCTATTAGTTTGGTTCCAACAACCGTTGAGTGTTGTCGACTTGTTGATAATCGTCAATATAATATTTTACAATTTTAGGAAAGTAATCTATTAAAATGCCTAAGCGAAGGTGCGTATTTACTCCCAGCTTGAAAGTTGAATTTCCGTATTTAAGAGATAGTGATGAAATCGGAAAAGTTTTATGTATTGTATGTAAATCAGTTTTTTTCAATAGAAAACGGTGGTCGTTCAGATATAACACAACATGTTAAACAAAAGAAACATTTATTGGCCGTATCAAGCAGTTCTTCAAATAAGGTAACGAATTTTTTCACTAATGTACAGTCAACAAATGAAAGCAAACGTATTGCGGCGGAAGAGGGTCTTTTTGCATATCATACTATCATACACAATCATTCATTCAGGTCTATGGATTGTACAACATCAATTATAAAAAAAATTTACGAAAAAAAATTTTCGTGTGCTCGTACAAAATGTGAATCTATAATTGTGAATGTAATAGCTCCTTTTGCCATTCAACAGATGTTAGATGAACTAAAATCCGTTAAATTTTTAACAATTATGGTGGACACATCAAACCATAAAAATTTAAAACTGGTTCCAATTCTGATTCGGTATTTTAACCCCCAAGAAGGGGTAAAAATTAAAGTGTTAGAATTTATGAATTTAAAAGGAGAAACATCAAATATTTTATCAGATTACATACTGAATGTTTTAAAAAAATATAGTTTATTAAATAATGTTGTTGCATTTTCGGGTGACAACTGCAATACAAATTTTGGTGGCGTCTCGAGAAAAGGCACAAATAACGTTTTTGCAATTCTAAATGAAAAATTAAAAAGAAATATTTCCGGTATTGGCTGTGCTGCTCATATTCTGCACAATGCTATGCATAGTAGTGCTGATATTTTGCCAACTGACATTGAACTCATAATTAATAAAATATTTCAGTATTTTCATATTTATACAGTTCGTATAGAAAAATTGAAGGATTTTTGTGATTTTGTTAGTATTGAGTACAAAAATATTTTAGGATCTGTAAAAACGCGTTGGTTATCTTTACAGCCAGCTGTTTCTAGAATAATAGATTTATATCCTGCATTGAAATCATATTTTATGTCACAAGAAAAGTGTCCTACAGTTTTAAGAACTTTTTTTAATGATCCTATATCCATGGCATGGTTATATTTTGTACAAAGTCAGTTGAAGGTGGTATGTGATACAATAAAAAGGATAGAAGGTGATCATATATCAGCAGGCGAGGTGTATGAAGAAATTGAAGTGTTATGTGGTAAAATAAAAAATCGGAAAAATCAACATTTTTTTACATCAGAGCTAGCTCAACTTATTTCAGATCTTGAAAAGAACAAACTGTACAGTGAAAAAAAGTTTATTGAGATAACTGATGAGTTTTATGACACGTTTTTATCGTACGTGGAAAAATGGGGATATCATTTTGAACCACTAAAAGTTTTTCGTTGGATTCATATACTAGATTTTCCAATTTGGAGTGACATTCAAGAAAGTTTTAAATATATTATTAAGAATAATCCAACATTGAAATTCGATGAAGATGAACTTTTTGACGAATTTAATCATGTGATTAATGTAATGAAGGTTAAAATGCAAAACTGGAAAAATGGTTCAAAAACCAAAGATAGGTGGTGTGAAATATTTAAAATTCTAGAAAAAAATAACATTTCAATTAAATATTTTACGGTTATTTTAGAGTATTCGATGGCTATTCCAGGTACTAACGCGTCGGTAGAAAGAATATTTTCAATTACAAATGTTTTATGGACAGATGAGAAAAATCGATTTCTTGTGGACACAATTAGATCGATAATAATCGTAAAACAACATTTTAAAAATGTTTCATGTACAGAATTTCATACATTTCTTTTAGAACATCCACAATTATTAAAACTAATTACTTTTTCAGAAAAATATGAAAAATCATATAGTGAAGACATCTCTGAATTATCAAAATGAATTAATAAGTTTTTTTAAAAATTTAATCTTATACAATATACAGTGTTATTAAAAATTATGTTTAAATTATAAAATATATATAGATATTATAGATATATATATTAATTATTAATAAAAAAAATTAAATTATTATTAATTTTGTCCTGTATTTTTTTTTTTTTAAATATGGTCACCCTAAACTAAATTATAATATATTGATACTGCGAGGATGTAGATAGAAAAAAAATGGCAGGTGTTAAAGAAATAAATATATTTTTTATAACTAAAATGTCTAAAAACGTAAAACTTAAAAAAAAAGTACATTACAAATTACATTGAATCGCATTATTTTACATGGTTAATAATAATATCAGCCAATAACCTATAATCTTTTTTTCCAAAATAAATTTCGATAAATTAAAATAAATTAATTTTGTTTACCTATTATACCTGGACGTCTGTGAATTATGTTATATTGCACATTTTCAATATAAATTTCCAAGACAAAATCTTCAGATTTAACATGGTTTATTAAAATTGTACGAAAATACCATAATTTATGATCGGTTAGTCTAGTTGTATGTTATTCGATCAAAATCTGAATTACTTAGAAATAACTTTTCACATTTATTTTCAGCCCATAAGTATATATGTTAAATAGTTAATATAAAACTTCCTGAAGGAGGTTGAAGTCCAGAAACCCTCTTTACAGCTAAAACCTTAGGAAACCGTATCAGAGGTAGCCAACTAGTAAAGACTTCTGATCGACTTATGAGTTTTTCTTGGTTGTCACACGATCGACAAAAAAAAAAAAAAGGTAACTAAACAAAAATATATTTTATATACATGTATGTGGTATGTTACACTTCCTTTATTTCTTCTATTTAAAACTTTAATAAGTAATAATAACTTTAATTTTACAATTTCACATAACAAATATTTTTAATCAATTATATAAACGCGACAAATACCGTTGATAAATAATAATAAATTAATATCCATTAGGTTACGTACATATACTTACATATCAACTCATCTTAATATATAATTTTGTTTTTCATAGTTATTTATTACTAATATTATTATCATATATATTTATATTAATTGTTATTAACTTAGGTTTTATATTCTTGGATTAGACAGAAATATAAACATTTACAAAAAATAAATAAATATTTAAATTTTTTTCTGAAAAAATGAAAGGAATTACGATCGACTCGAACTGATGTCGCGATCGACCTGTTGACCACCCTTGATATATTTGTTGGGACATGGACCAATTGCGCCTAAAAAAAATTTTATTTTAGGGTCAATATACCAATTGCGCTTGTATTTAAATTTACTTGATATTTATTGATCAATTGATTTAATTTGATTTTGCTAAAGTGACTGGTTTTAATATATTTTATAACAGTATCGGTAATTTTATGAAAAGTTATTATTAATATGCACATATTTTGATCACGGAAGTATGCATTTGAGTGATGGACGAAAACAAATTTTTATTATCATTGGACATATTTTTTCAGCCTATAATTGTTTCGTCGCACACAATATACTATATATAGAAAAAAATACATTGATGATACCCAATACTTATGTCTTGTTAGTCGTTTAGTATTAGTTTGAGTCGTTTGACGTAACAAAATGGATTATTTTCAGTGGTGGTCAAACGGGGGGAGGGATGAGGAGGGATAGATCCTCCCCATGACCTTTTTTTAAATATTTATAATTCATCCAAATTATACATAATATATTATATTATGTTATGGGTGGCCAACATGTCTATGTACACGAGTCACATGTATTAATAAGATTATATTAAGAGTCAAATTATCTAATCGGTACTTCTATACTACAAAAGTAATTAAAAAAGCTAACAGTTGATAAACATATATATAAATAATTAAGTCAAAATATCGTTAAAATTTCACTAATGATCATCTCACAGAATTACTAAGAACTACTCTTACATCAATTCAACCAGATCTTAAGAAGCTTATTAAAAAAGTGGACATGAAAAAAATACCACGCAAACAAATTTAACTTGATGTTTAATTTTTTAATTTATTATTCATATAAATAAATTTTTTTTTTTGTTTACTAATCTGTACACTATAGCCTCGTATCTATGCAATAAAATTTTTTTTTTATAAATGTATACAAAAAAATTAAAATATTTTGGTTTTTGTAAATAAGACCGCGAGCCGCATACGACTTTGACGAGGGCCGCATGCGGCTCGCGAGCCGCAATTTGGCCACCCCTTATTATACATTATATTATATATAATATAATATATTATATTATATAGGTTAGGTATTCATCTATTTTCTATTTAAAAAAATAAATATACTGTACTTATTAGTTATTATACAGTCTCTAGGCTCGAATAAAATTAACAGTTCAAACATTAAACCCTAAAATATTAATTGAAACAAATTTTTTAGATTTTTATCATTTCCTTTATAGTTTATTTATAAGAATGAATGAAATTTAAATTTAGTACTTAATGTTAAACATAATATATTATATTATCATATTATATGAATTGTGTAATTATATTATTTTATAGTCGTCTCAATGGTTCAACCACTATGGTCGTTCATCGTGAGGTTGTCAATATAACTGTAGACGAAGTACTGGACGAATTGGCAACAAAACCAGAAAAATAGATTTAATAATATAAATATCATTAATAATAATTAATAATATCATTAATATAATATAATTTCCATGTTTAAAAATAAAGATTTTTATATATAGTGTTTGTTAAAAATCAGTTACATCCCCCCCCATGACAAAATCATTTGACCGCCACTAATCGTTTTACAAAAGCTCTTAGTAAAAAAGGTAAAGCATTATTAGTTATTGATAAGTTTAAGTTTCGTAAATGTTCTATCTCAAAAAATGGAATAAAATGGAGATGTACAATTAAATCGTGTATTATATATTACTTCGAATTTTTTATGTGATGTAAGTGAAACGGTGATTTTAAATCTAACTTTGATCATAACCACGAATCAAGTGTAAATATTAATAGACAAATTGTTACTTACTGATTAAAAAGAAAAGCAACAGACCAAGTTATAACACGACCACTAAAATTAATTAATAATTCGAAATGAAGTGCAATAAAGTGCATTAGATTTGAAATTAAACGATGTGCATTCTATACGACGAAGCTTTTATCGTACTCGTAGAAAAATGCTACCATCTATACCGAAAAATGTAACCGAAGTGCATACAGCATTAATTAATTTGGATACGAATACATACAAGGGTGAGAATATATTGCTTGTAAACGACAATATATTGAATGTAATATGTTTTTCTACAAACTCAAATTTAGAATATTTATGTAGTTGCGTCAAAATCTTTGTCGATGGAATATTTGATACATGGTTTGAAAAATTGGCACTATATTCCACTTATATTTTCTTTACTGCCAAATAAGCTAACAAGTACATACGAATATTTATTTCGAGTTTTGATTAGTAAATTTGCAACATTTAATTTTGATTTTAATCTAAAAATAGTTGTTGTCGATTTCAAAAAAGCTATTCATTTAATAAAAATTTATTACAATTTAATTTTTTGTTTGTCACTTTTTCCATACGAAGAAGTGGAGATGTGTTTTTAGAAAAAATAATGACGATTTAACCAATTAATTCAAATCTAACCAAATTTACTAATTATATCTTTGAAAACTATGTATCATCTAATTCTATATTTCCTCATAAACTGTGGGCGACTAATTGTCTATTTCAATAAGTTTTGAATGTACAACTAATGCGTGTAAAGCTTTTCATGCTTCATTTCCTATAAACTTTTATTCTCACCATTCAAATATTTTTGTCTTTTTAAAAGTAACTATTTAAACGCAGACTAGCACGTATATTGCAATAAATAGAGCATATTTAACAAAAAAATTAACAATCAATTCTTTTATCGAGAAATACAAATCTGGCAAAATTAGCAGAAAAGAATTTTTAAAAATGGTGTGTTATTATTATTGTATAAATGTTTAAATGTGAATTATAATATTATTAGGCACCTATTAATATTCCCAAAAATTATCTATGTGTTTATATATATTTTTATTATAATTGTAATGCCATGCTCAAATGATTATTTTAAAAATTATTATTATTCTTAAAACATGCAAAATACAAACATCATGATTACCTTAAACTCAAAATCTTATTACTTTATGTTTTTATGATTTAACCACTTATACTCTTATTATTATTATTAATATTATTTTATTTTAGTTTTCATTAACTAAACTGTATAAAGTTTCACCGACTCGGCCTTAAGGTCAACACGCGGCGTATAGGTCATGAGTGTTCCCCTTGATTCATGGGTGGTAAGTAGTGTAAAGGTAGAAAATACTAGAAATCTCACAATGTATTATGTATTAATACTCGCAAAAAAATCGGTCAGTAACTAACTAATAGATTTCCTTAGGTAATATAAATTGTATAGAGCGCAATGGTCTATTGATCCTAAAATTTTTAGAGCGCAATTGGTAAGCTCCCATTTGTCGTTATACAGAACCCGTCCGCACGACTTTGATGCCTACGGCTTCGGTTAATATGTATTATGACAATGGCCCCATTGGTTTAAAGTTTAAAGACCAAAACAGCAATATCATTTAGATACTTTTCCCAATAACTTGCCCCGACCTAGTAATTTTGCCAGGCACGTGTAAGTAAATAGGGTACTTATTTGCGATCACCCCCCTAAGGTTTCGCTTTTATTTATATTAACAGTAATTATTAAAAAATAAAAATGTTATACTTATACATAAAATCATGTAGAATTTACAAGAATATAAAATTTTCTTTAGAAATATATATACTGGATCATATTAATGTAAAATTAATAATCATTCTTAAGAGATCAGTGTGAATGCGTATATTTTCTCGAAGAAAACAATTCCTGTTGACAGCAAGACGTTTGGGAGTGTATAGAGTTACCAAACAATTACACCTTTGTTAATAGTAAAGTTGGTACTTAAATATGTGCATCCGGATATGGCGTTTTGCATAATCTGTCGACAGACCGTCGATAATGTACAAAATAATAAAAAGATTACTTATTGTCTTCGACTTGCTGCTAATTCGAACACACGCATACGCGACAACGACCGCGCGTGGTGGCAGGTACCGCGCGAAACGCGAGCAGCGCGAACGCAAATACGATTAATAATTTGGACGTGCGCGGTGACTAAAAATACGCTGGCCGACGCGTGTGCTAAAAACGTGGTGCGTGGCGCGGCGGTACAGCAAACACGGCGCTATTCGCACGGGCGGCGCGCGCATTTGGCCGAGAGCGCGCTCGCGCTGGCGCACACCGCCGTCAGCGGTCTCCTTGATAAAACAACAAAACACTACTACAGCACGGCGGCGGTGGCAACGTCATTGTACATGTAGATCGATGATAAAACGCGCTAAAGTTTTTCGCTTTCGAACCAATCGCCGCGATCACGGACCAAGCACTCGGGGCCGTCCGCAGTTGTCGTGTGAATAGCGTGCGCTATTCTATACATGATAGGATCATCATCATCATCATCATCGCCGTTTGTGCACACGTCCATACGCGTGTCAGCTACGTGACATTTTTTTTTGGTTTTCCTTCTTGTGTTCGTTCGTGGCATCCCATTTGTCTTGGTGCTACGAAAAGTGGTTGCGTGGTGGACATGGCGACGCACGGCACCGACCCAAAAAGCGTCTGCTGATCGAGATGACCGACTGGCGATCATGATGAACAATACCGGGATGCAGCCCTGAGCGCTTCGACTGTTGGAACGACCGCGCAACGTCGCCATCGACGACGACTGTCATCGATTCACGCGTTCGTATTGTATTGTATTTATTTAAATTTATATATAATTTATATACTCGTATATATACGGAGAGAGAGATAGAGAGAAAATATATTAATATTATTGTCCACGTACGCACGTTTTAGTCATACGTACTGCTGTGTGTACGGCGACACCTGCTTTGCAAGGGATTATAACAACGCGCTTTTTTTTCTCCCCCCTGACAGGTGCCCGCCGCTGCTGCTGTTGTTCTGCTGCTGCTTGCCGCGACAACGATCGGTATGGCCGACCACGCGAAATCCGTTGGCCAACGGTCCGACGAGTCGCTGGAACACATGCTGTTCTTTTTCAACCTCAGCATACGCAAACTCGCTTTCGTCGGCGTATCCTTGCCGCTCATCACTCTACTGACGTGCTTGGCCACCGCGTATGTCTTCCAGTACGACGACGTTCACGAAACGCATTGCCAAGTGAGTCGATGACGCACAGTTCGCGCGCTGTGTATATCGGTGCATTGTGTCGTACCTTCGTCTCCGCATGTGCCCTGTATGTCGTACGTGTACACTGTTTTTTAGCGTTCGCCGCCTACGACCACTTTTCTTATATTTCATTACATTGTCTGCAAATCGAATTCTAATTATTGTTGTGGCATACGGATTTCAGCGTTTCATGTCTTTGCAAAATGCTCCATGACGATTTCGTTCTTATTACAAATATCTTAACTATCGTTTAATTTTTTACTGTGAAAATTATATTATATACACCCGCAGTTGAAATGTTAAAAAAAATTAACAATGACCGGTTCCCTTGTAAAATATACATACTAGAGCTTTGCACAGGCCGAGCTCACGAGGTATTTTAATTGTGGACTATTAGAAATAAAAGTAAATAAATATTTGTAATTTATATTGCAGTTCATAAAAAAAAAAAAAAAAAATTAAAAAATTTACTCATTTAAAAACAATAAATTTTAATTTTAATTTAAAATATCATTAAATTATTTAATTATTATTCAATATTATTAATTAAAAACTATAAATTTTAATTAAAAAAAAATCCATGTTTTTATTACACAGTTAACATTAAACATATCGAATTTTAGAAGAGAAAAAGGTTAAGTGGCGCCGGGCTAGATTAATTTTGTATTAAGATTGACCAAGCTCGGCGGGCAAAATCTAGGTAAGTAAAATATTGGCCGGGCTTGGACTTTAAAAATCAGGACCATGCAGAACTCCAGTACATACCACGGTTCAAAAAATCCATTCCACAAAAATCCAAGGAACCTAGTTGAAAAACATCAAGAAACACCTCGGTCACAGACCTAGAATTTTCTTCTAGTTCTGACCGAATACGTGTAAAAAAGTTAAACATACGCACAAACAATATTTTGTGTTATGTACCTTAGTCAGACAATGTTTATTTTGAACTCCGCACACATTTTCAGTTGATTAAGAATTGTTTGTTTTAATCGCTGCAAATATTTATAATTTATTAAAAAAAATTCTACATAGTCTAGTCTAGTTGTCAGCTTAACCGCAAATCTTTGATGTCAGGTTGAAAATTATCAGTTGTTTGATATCTCTATTCAATGAGCTCTTTTTTTACACACGATTTTCCGCAGAGTTTCTTATTCTATTGGATTATTATTATATTGGACATTTTCGTAAAGGTGTTATTACGTCTAATCTTTTAGATGGTTTACCAAAGTGATTTTGGCAAGTCTGTGGTGACATATCATAATCGGGTATGACGTTTAAATGTTTAGTAAATTCAGTGCTCGAATTGAGAAAAATTAACTAGAGGAGATTAGTCCAACGATTTAAAAACTGCGTTCCACGGGCGCAGTTATTTAACCTAACCCGGGGGGTTATACCCCTACACCTCCTTCTCTACCTTACATATATTTTGAAATGACCACACCGTCATTTATCATAACCACCATGTAATCTTTTATTATGAAAATGTATTTTCTCATAAATTTACATAAGTAATAAGCAGTGGAAGCGCTAGGATAGTGCGAGCTGTGCGGTTGCATAGAGCCTCGCCGCTTCCTGGAGCCCCACAGTTTACAAAAAGTCGAGCAAAAATCTGTAGTTTATTCATGATTTACTATGCAAAATTGAAAAATCGGAGCCCTGAAGTAAAATTTACCAGTATGAACCCGAACACTGTTTATTATTGTCAAATACATAAAATTAAATTTTATCATGAAGTAGTTGTAATCTTGGACATGCTAGAAACGATTAAACATTACGCTGATTACGCGTAGTGAATTGTTTACAGAAAAAAAAAAAATAATTAACATAATTGTAAAACCATTAGATCCTTCGCTTCACTCAGAATTTAAAATATTTTTATAATGAATTTGTATTTCTTGAGAACACTTAGTCATAATTTTTTAAATAATTCTTAAACCAAATATTTTTTATTGATAAGAAAATAAAGAAAATGGTAATTATCATTTGTATTATAGTCTGATAACGCTTTTGTTAAATATTTTGAGCATTTGATTGAAGACCAGTCAGAAAAAAGTAGAAGAGTTTATTTTTGAAAGCATATGTAACCATGTAATGTAAATACAGATTCATATCTTGTGCTAATATTATATTTTATTCTTGAACTATTTAACTTTTTGTTTTATTTATAGATTGTTCAAACATCCAACAAGTAATTTATTTAAATTAATTAATTATAAACACGAAAAACCAAATCATTCTTTGAATAAAAAAAATCTGTAATGCATTATAGGTTGTATATGCAATTTATAGTCGTTAAACTGCGGTAATGATGAAAATCTGCTCTAAAAAGCATTGAAAATGCACAGGGGCGGATAGGCATAATCAGACCGGCGCGGTAAAAATAGAATACAACGGCCCGTATGATTATATCCAAGTTCCAACTAAACAACAACCTCAACTTTGAGAGAACCGACCCGGCAATCACCACCTATTTTTTTCGATGTTCTTAAAATTATAATATATATTATACTATCCAATTTTACACATGTTTTGCTCTTTTCTAACTCTACGATTTTTATCTCTTTTATTTTCTGCACCTCCTTTTCTTTTTAATTCGTTTTGAAGCATACCTGGTTATAGGTACAACATTTTAGCAATATTATACTATTTACATGGTTCGCGTATAATTATTGTGGAAAATCATGATTTATCAGTAATTAATTTTGCCGTGGGGTTTTATTAGTGATTATATATGATAATTTAAATCTGAACAATCGGTTATCATTATAGCACGGAATTATATACATTAAAAAACAATCAAATATGCGTTAAAAGATCTTTAACATGCACAAGTATATGCACTAATATGTTTAAATATGCATTAAAGAAAAAAAAATTTGCACTCAAAATTTTAAATAAAATTTAATTTTTAATTTTTGATCATTCAATTAAAATAATACATAAAAAAAATTACATTTAAAATTATGTAACCCTACTGTAATTACTTTTTTTTCTTCTTCATTTCAGAGGAATTTACTATTATATTTACAGATTTAAGCTAGATTTAAATATATATTATCAGTATTATATTTATTTATTTTTATTTGTATAATAGTATTAGTAGTAATATTTTTCATCAGCCCATTTTCGTCAATATAAGCAGTGGCTCACCGGGAAAATCCCGGTGGCTCGGTGGCCCTATCCACCCCAGAAAATGCATAATTTTACACCTAATTAAAAAAAAAAAAATATCCCCAATACGGTAGTAGGGGCTTCGTAAATCACGTGTCACATAGGGCCTCGTGGTGGCTAGAACCGCTACTAGTACTAAGAGTACATATTTACCTCACATTCGAATTCATTTTCAACCAATTATGTTATATATTTTGTATGTTGCTAAGCGCGGGTTGCTAGGTTAACGGGTACTGTGTGTCTGCATAGCATGGTTCTATCTATAACCATGCTGCGTAGTTACTAGTCGACCGAACGTAATTTCGGTTAACATAGGCTGGGTACTTATAAGTGATAATACTAGCGGAACTCAACGTCTTAATAAACGAATATTAAAAATATTTTTGATATTATAAATCATAATATTCGTTATAAAATTTACGAACATTGAAATCCACGTTTTTATAAAAATTATTTTGGACATTAGTTAGGGAGAACGTGGCGTCCCCCGTTCCAGTAATAAAATATAGTTGGAGTACGTTAAAAAAAAAAAGTAGAGGAACTTCGTTTTCCTGCGGGTTAGGTACCCCCTCCCCGCCTAATCGAGCACTGTATACATATTTTCATGATAATATTAAGGTGCATGTAACAATTACTTAATTTATCACAAAACCCTACACGAATGCGATGCAGTAGTTAAGACGGTTAAGTGGTTAGCGATGTAGTTAATGTACATCTTTACTTATACCTTCGAGCTTAAATGATTTGTGTGCGAAAATAAAAAAATAAAACGTTTATTTATCATCACTTCATCAATAACTACTCGTTTGCTTCGTCATATTATATTTTGTATTTTATTCCCATCTCTGTCGGTTTCTGCAGGTGTACAACGTGATACCGTCAATTAGCGCCATCACTGGCATCACACCCCAGACGTACATGTGGCGAATAGCCGTTGCTTTTCACGTTGGTCCACGTATGGTCATCGCCCAGGTGTACTACAACTATTTCATCAGTCAAATTTCCAGAGGCGCTGACAACTGCAAATCGACCCACTATATATTTATCAATCTCTGTTACTGGCTCAATATAATCGAAGTAGTCGCAATTTGTGGTGTTACCTACATATCTAATAGAGAAAACTATCGTACGTATATATGTATATATATATGTATATATATTATTATTTATGCTATGGTCTAATTCGTATATCCTTACAATGTGATAAATGAATAATCAAAAGATTAATCGTTAAACTGTGATTATTTCTGTCCACGTGTTTTTACCAATATATAGCTGTGCACGAGAAAATCTTCATTTTGTTCATGCTCAGTTCATTATTGTACATGGTCGTTATGATCAAGACCTTCAACATGGTGCATAAAACGATGACCAAAAGTCAGCACTTGTCGTATACCATCAAGAAAATACTTTTCGCCATTTGTATTACGTCCACGTTCACGTTAATATTTTTCTTCATCAAACATCGTTTTTACTGTCACGACTTAGGTTAGTATATTGTAATTTGCAACATGAGAGTTGTAAATTAATTAAATAATATAACGATTATGAGTTGGTCATGTTCAAATATATCAATACAGTATATTTTGCAGCATTTACCTGGTTCGCACTCAGCGAGTACATCCTAGCAGTATCAAATATGGCTTTTCATTTTACTATAACACTGGACTTCCCACATGAACAGTTGATTGTTGCCAAAAACTTTCCATCATTCAAAACCGACTGAAAAATTCTGTGTACCGAATCGAAGACTTATAACACAAACATCTTACTTCCAAACATCTTTATTTTATCTAATTTTTAAGTATATATTTTACATATATACCTTGAACAGTTCTTAGGTCATATATATATTTTAAGCATGAAAACTATACTTCTATAGATTATTTTAAATAATTTCCAGTAAATTTTTTACTTCTAATTTAATTAAAATTCACTGGCATCAAATATTTTTATTTCGTATACATAATAGTACTATTATGTAAAATATAGTTTCCAGCTCAAAATATTACGCACAATTAAATGAAGAAATATTTACTATTCAATTTTACGATGTTTTTAAATTCGTTAACTCTATAATTTATACAAAAATCTCAATACATCCATATCAACAGGTTGAATCATTTAACTCAAGATAGATCAGCTGTTAGCTTTGTAGGCGAGTCTTTTTTACATCCTATCACAATCAATATTATTACAATCGAACATTGTAAATAGATCTTTTGATAAAAATAAGAATAATATGATGATAGTACACAAACAACTATGCTGATAAACTTGAAATATTTTTTATTACGTTTGTATTTAAAAAATATGGCTTATACTATTATAGTTCACCTAGTCAATTATATGGCTGATTTTATGTTTTCACTGTATATCATAAAGCGAAAGTGACTAAATTATTGAATTATTATTGGTAAAGGAAAAAGACTTTTTTTATACTGCACTAGATTTCTAGACTTCAAGCTTTAAAAATGTTTGTTTATATATAAATGTTAAATCTTTTCGAAATGTTATGACCAATTTATATTTTATTAATTTATATTGTAAACACTTGCTTCTGTTAAATCCTAAGAGCATCGTGTTTTATTTATATTTATATATGTATTTATTTTACATTGTTGTTACCCTAACAAATTGGTAATTGTTAGATTTCACCTTTGAAGAACTGGATAACACTTCATTCTTATTGTGGTAATTATGATATTTTTATTATATTATAGATATAAAAAATTGTTACTTTATGGGGTGTTTCGTATCCATTGTCGTTATATCCAACATTCGTATCCATGTCGTTGTTTTCTATAATTTGTTTTTATATTAATATTATTCATATTTTTCCACTTCTTCCAGTAATTTAAAATGTTTGCTTGTCATTTTGAAATTTCCTTACTTCCAAATTCGAACTTCCCAAATTATCCGATTTCCGAAATGTGTTTGTGATTATTGAAACAACATACCTACTCAAAGAAATTTTAAAAAATTACTAACTGTGCATAAATTCTAAAATTCATACAATTTATTGTAAATTGATTAAATACGCTTTATAGTTATCCAAGTTTATTAGAAAAAGATGTATCCTAAAAACACTTTTTTATATACCAGTTTATTTCTAGTCTAATTTGTTTTAATGTATGTTATTATATAATGTTTTAATTTTAAAGTTTTTTTTTTTTTTTAATTTTAGTTAATGTGCTAACATAAATAATAGAATAACTATTAGGCCGTAAACATGGAGCGTTTGTTATAAATTATTGCACTTTTTTTAGTGAAAATGTATGTACAAGTAAATAACGTGTTCAACGTGCATATAAAGTGATTAAACATAACCTTATAACATTAAATGGATTGTATCAATGAGATATTATAAGGTTTTATTAAACGAGAAAATACAAATTATATATGTTTTTTGTTTTTATCACTTTAAAATATAATATATATATATATATATATATATTCATTTGTATACAACATAACAGTATTATTAGTATAAGAACAGTTATATTGAAACTAACTAGTGAAATCTGAACATATTTTTATAGTATAAGACATTTATATATAAATGTACTATTAAATAAAAGGTTTAACTCCTAGGTTGGGTGAGATACAAGAATGGGTGAATCATATTAATGTATTGGTATTTTAAACCAGTAACCGAAGTACTATTGCTTTCGAAAAAATAATTCTAAGTGATCAAACGAATCAGTTATTGGTGCAACTAGAGCTTAAAATTGTGGGTACTGAAATTTTTGAAAATAAAATAAAATGGTGGTATTTATCTGTAATTAGTAATCCATATAACCTATAGTAATTACTAATTACTATAGGTTATATGGATCTGAAAAAATAAAGCAGGAGTGCTAAATTTTAACTCAGGGGTGCTAAAAACCTTAAGGAGCCCCCTAATTATGCCTATGACAATATAGTAGAACTAAATTCCTTAATAAGATGGATTGAATATTTAATATTAAAATTTTGCAACAAAAAAGTGCATCTAAAATTTGGATAGATCGGAAACTTTAAGTGCCTATAAACAGTACAAATTTCATTAAAATATTTTAAAACTATAAAATTTATTTCCTATTTACTATATTTTACTTTTTATTTGCTGATAGTTGGAGCAATCCTTCTAAATTAAATTGAATACAAAGACATAAAAAAATAAAAATAAAACACACATAATGTTAAAACTAATGTATTCCTTGTAAGTCATTTTACACAGAATCTAAATCTAGAAAACATTTAAAAATTACATTTTAATAGCAACACCAAAATCCAATTAAATACTATACGTATTACTATATCAGATTTTTATTATTTAGATTTACCTAATCTACCTATTTAGTCACTTAGATAAAATATTAATAATTATTTTTAAAACAATATCCTCACATACTATATATTATACTAATATACTCAGAATTAAAAATAATTCTAACATAATCATTATCAACGTATTTTTTTTATGCAGTTGAATAAAAAAAATGTACAACTACAATTTAAAAGTATGCACAATAAGTAATAATAGTAACAGCGACGATTTGAATTAAAATAACTGTATGTGTGCAATCATGCACTTCGGAAATGAATACTTTTATTAAGGAGTAGTAAGGAAGAGAATGATTTTATTTAAAATTTAAATATAATAATAATAAAATATTATTATATAAGAAAATCAATACATTCTGTAACATTTTCATTAAATTTATTTTTATTGGCAAATATAAAATGTATGTAATAAATATTTAAATATTTATGGAATTGTCATCAATTTGCTTTTATGTCAGTCTGGTAATACTGATGGGATTATAATAACTGAAGTATGATACAAAATGCTTTACTTCTATATTTTCAAGCTTCCTGGCAAATACAGCATCAATGGTAGTACCACCTTTAGTCGTAGGATAATTTCTACTGATTATCATTCTCAAAGATAATTTTTATTCAAGGAAATCGAGCAATAGTTGAGCCTCTGGCAATAAAAAGTTAACATTAAAATCTCCTGTCAAAACTACAGGTCGATCGCAATAATATACCGGTTCACCAGTTATTTCTTCGAGTGCTTGGGAACCTGCGACTGTTAGGCTAAACACACACGGGCCACTTTAAAACCACACCACAACCACAAAACGGTGGTCGTTCGTGGGTGATATATTAATTACATGTAAGGTAATATGAAAAACGCAGTCGAACACAAACGGACCACTTTCCGACGGCAGTCTCATTGTGTCCCATGTATCACCCACAAAATAGTGGTCCGTCGGTGGTTGAGCGTAACATACTTGTTGCGACACATCAACCACTTTCCGACCACTTGCCGCCAGCACTAATAATTATTAATCATTATTATTTTATATTTATAGAACTATCATTGATAGGTATCTGTATAATCTATACATATATTATTATCAATATTATTTTATGACTAGTGTTATGAAATTTGTCGAGTAGTTGAATTGGTTCAGTTGTTGTTCAGTTGTACATGCTCACGTGTTTTGTGTTCAATACGTACGCCACATTTGTGGTTGTGGTGTGGTTATATTAACGTCGGTTCGGACTTCTAACGACCACAAAAAAGTGGTTCAAAAGTGGTCGTTCCACAACGCACAAAAGTGGTCCGTGTGTGTTAGGCCTTAATGGTAGTAACGCCTTACTCACAAAGAGCTTAATATCTCGCATACATACGATGGATGTGAAATGTATATAGCTATCAATATCAGTTGACAATCCGAATCATTTTTCTTTTTGCATTCTACAGCACATATGTATATCCCCAATTCTTCATGAGCTTGATACAATGATTTCTCCGTTAATTTGATTAGTAGCTTTTATGTCGCTTTGAATATGAGTTTTGATTGAGTTACAAATTTGCAACAATTATTTAATATTTGAAATTTTTTTTTTTATTAAAATTATTTAAACCAATCAGACTGCACGTCAAGGCCAACTATACCGCGCTACACCGCTCTACACTCTACTCTCACATAGTAGGTACGGAGGGGACGCTGAGCGTTAAACGGGTCCGGAGTCGCATTAGAAGTATTCACTTCAAAAAATGAATAACGTGGTATAAGAGTACAACCAATGGAGTAACGGAGCAACCAATTATTTAAAGATAAATTAAATATCAGTAGGTATCTACAGTCATGGGCGTAGCGAGGATATGGTAGTGGAGGGGACTTGGCCTTACATTCAGTCTCTTTATATCTTATCTATAAATCTACACCATATGCATAAAAAACAAATTTTAAAAATTTAACATCTCAAGATTTTGATTTATAATAATAATACTATCTATCAAAAAATAAATCTTCTATATAAATAAAAATATATTGCCCTATGTAATCACTGGAGAACGGTTTCACCAATTTGGCTGATTTTTTTTCTTTTTATTATATTCGTAATTATCAAGACAAGGTTTGTATGAAAAAAAAAATGAAAAATGATAAAAGGTGAAAAATTTAAGTTTAAACATATCTATATAAAAAAAAGTTATTCAAATTTCTAGGTAAAAAAATCTTAAAACACATTAACATATTAATATTATTAATATTAAAAAACATTAAAGCAACTATAATTATAGGAAAGTTCAAAGGCGAGTATGTAAAGTAGTATAAAGAGTGTATGAATACCACTAATTTCAACTGACTTTCCTTTTGAATTTAAACGTATCCAGTTTCCGATCAATCTTTTATGCCATGACCATTAACAAGTAACAAGGTAAGTCATTAGAAAAAAGTAGAATTAAACTTGAACTGCCATGTTTTTCCATGGACAGTTGTACGTTACATGCTTGGAAGTTGAAAAACAGACAAAAAACAAAAAGAATTGCGACATATTTTCATCGAAATTATTTAAC